GTGTAAGCAAAGGCAAAGAGTCTACAGCCATTTATAATAAAATTATCTTTCATAACTCGTTAGGCATATAAATAAATATGCCCATTATATCTTCCCATTATAACACCTATTTTCTTGGCCATCTCCCTAATTGTCATTCAGATTCAACTAAGCTAGCACCTTTGTGAAATTATGCTACTCCGATGTTTATTTTTCATTTTCCTTAAAGTTTAGACTTTTGTCTATACACAAGGCTACATAGGATAAAGACTGCTTTTCAGCCAGCTACTTCCAGTCACTAGACATGGTCATATTCATCTGTTTTGGCCAATGATATATAAACAGCAGTATTATAGAGACTTCTGGGAAATACCCCTAAGTAAAGTGTTACATGCTTCTTCTTCCTTGTCGGCTGGAAAAGGGATATAACAGCCATATTACACCAAGTAAATGGAGCCCTTTGTGGAGTATTCATCACAGTAGGAGAGACATAGTCTGAGTCCCAGATGCCATGGAACACCATGCCAGCCCCAAATTACAACTGCATATTTCTCATGTGAGAGAATAAGTGCTTCTCTTCATGTCGGGGTCTCTGTCCCACAAAACCAAATGATTTTTATTTTATGGACCTCCACCAAGTTATTGATTGCCTTAAAAAATAAGCCAAGTCGCCTCCACATTCAGTCACTTAACGCAATATGTGTTTATCATTGCTCAGTCTCCGTGCACCAGGAATTCAGGAGCGGCTTGTTTGGGCAGTTCTGCTTCGATCCTTCTCTTAGTGACTGTCCCTGGTGGGGATTGTAACCATCCCTCTAATGGTCTGCCTGTAGCTGGAGATCAGCCTTAATGGGCCATTCAGTCACGTGACTGTGTTGTTAGTTTTCCGGAGCCCTCTCTATTCTCCACCTGTAACTGGGCTCTTGCGATGTCATGCTGTGTCTGTTGGCACTTTTCCCTGCCTTCTCCATCAAAGCAAGCCACCCACCCCAGAGAACAGGGTGGCATCTTTGGTGGCAAAGCCATCACAGTCACGTGTGGTCACTTGTGCAATCTCTTTGTTGGCCCACAGACCTGTGGAAGGGGACTATGCAAACAGTGGGCATAATTGTCAAATAAAAGATCCATCTTCTGCGGGCTTTCTCATACCCCCACTTCCCTAATGGACTCCGTGTTGTGCTCACTGACAAGCAATGATCCTTCCATTCTGGAGAGACACCAACGCTCAACATCCTCCGGAATAAATCTTGCTGCTTCTAAACCATCTATTGTCATTCAACTTGTTGGCTTACCTTTCCTCGGTGTTCACAATTTACCTGACTCAGAGCAATTTAGATAAGGGGAGGGTCGAACGTAAACCTTCTCTTTCTTTCTTTTTATCACTGTATTTTCTCCAGCTTCTGGGCTCAGCAACCATCATTGAATTTTATGCTTTTGTCAAAATAAGCTGTCAGAAACGGGCCCAGATCTATTAGAAGGCAACATCATTCTCCCTGCCCTGGCATTCACCTTATGGTACAGGGACCAGAGAGGGGCTGGCAAACACACATAAATCCAGAGATCTATAACTCTGTATCCCCTGAAGGAGTGGCCATAAAGTCCTTCACTCCAGATATATGGAGGGAGGGAGACAAAGGGCAGGCAGGAAGAGCTGCAGAGGGACTGTAAAGCAGAAAAAGAGATCTCACTAACTGTCGGTCTCATTATAAGTAAGCCTGGCAGCGCCATTATTTATGGCTCGATGCTGACTGGCAGGCAGAACTGTGCCTCTCGCTCCTCCATGCCTGTCTCCTCGGCCCGGCATCTTGCAGGCTCATCAGGGATGAGGGATGCCTGATGGCTCCTCGGGAAATGGTGCTGCATTTGGAGTCTGAGCAGGAGAACATGGCCTGGAGGCTTCGAGGATTTAAGAACAGAGTGTGCACCTGACCGACATTCTAAATCCCAGCATCCCAGGATCCGCTCACATCTCCCTTGCCCATCACTTGCTGTAGAGAGCCATTTTATTCCACCCTAGGGAAACTGTGGCTTGCTTTCTCCTCCCCCAAAGTCCTCATCCACTGCACCTCCTGTGTATCTGTGACACTGATTGCAGAGACTGTGTGTAACCTCAGGTTGTGATGACTTAGCAGGTTAAGATAAGACAATTTGCATAGCAAATAGGATGGTCACCAGTACTTCAAAACATCTAGCAGGAATGATTCTAAATATAGAAATTCACATTACCCTATCCATCCTGTGCTACAGTAATGGGAACGGGGATTTGCGCAGGCTGATTCAAGTGTAGCTCTGAGTGACAACGTTCCAGTTACTATGGCTGCATAGTAAATGACCCAATATGGCTTAATGCATTCAGTTATTTTGTTCATGGATCTTGCGGGTGAAGAAGCCAGTCAGGCTACCGTGTGGATGGATCACCTCTACCCCATAATGCCTAGTAGCTCTACTGGAAGACTCCAAGGGTAGTCTAGACTCATGAAAGACTCAGCCATTTACACCACTTGGCTGATGTTCATGTGCATGAGCTCCCGGCTGGGGCTGGGGTTAGCTGTAGCACTGCATGTGGCCTAGGCCCCATAGTGTTCGTGTTTTAAAAGTAGGCGTTTCAAGTATATCCACCATGTGGTGTAGCTGTAAGTTTCTCTGGTCCTACCTGGCCCCTTGTTCCCCTGTTTGTTCGGGTCCTGCCTGACCCTGGGGTCCTGCAGGCATTTATAAAATAATCACTCAGAGGCTTAAAATTAATTGTAAATTATATGGCCTATGGTTCAGGCTTCTTGCTAGCTAGCTCTTATAACTTAACTTAACCCATTTCTATTAATCTATATGTTGCCACATGGCCGTGGCATTACCGGTCTATGGGCATCTTGTTGCTCCTTGGGCGGAGGGCTGGTGTCTCCCCCCACTTCTACCCTTCTTCGTCTTGTCTTCAGTTTGAATGTACCACCTAACCTTATCCTGCCCTGCCATAGGCCAATGCAGCGTTATGTATCAACCAATCAGAAGCAACACATATTCACAGCGTACAGAAAGACATCCCACAGCAATGTGGCTTTTTAAAATGAACTTTAGAAGTCAAGCAACACCAATTCTCCCAAATCCATTAATTAAGGTGATTATTAAGGTCAGCTCAATTTCAAGGGAGTGATCTTTATTCCAAGAGCTCTCCATTTCAGAACAGTAGTCCAATTCCTTCTTGATAATTAGGAAAAATCACCCCAGCCAGCACAGTAACTCCTTTATTGGTTCAGAAGAATAAGCATCTAGAAGTGGCCATATGGTTGTGATAACTTCCCATTTGCTGGATTCAAGATAGCCGTGAATACATCATATTGGCAGTACAAATTTATTCAAGGCATACTTTCAACTTGAGGGCACAGATATTAAAAAGCCACTCTTGGCTGGATGTGGTATACTCCTTTAATCCCAGCCCTTGGGAGGCAGAGGCAGGTAGCTTCCTGATGAGTTCCAGGCCAGTCTGGTCTATATAGTGAGTTCCAGGCAAGGTAGGGCTACACAGTGAGCCTTGTGTTAAAAAAACAAAAAAACAAAAAACTGTCACTGCCCACAAATAAATATATCTTGTTTTTGTAATTTCTCCTTGAATTTCTGAGTAGCTGGTGTTAGTCCAGTCTCCTTAGGTATCCCCACATCTGTGGACATAACTGGCAGCCACTTTGATGGAAAGCGTTGTAATTTCATTGATCCTGTTCCTTGCTGAAGACATGAAGACTGTCTGTCACTAGTGAAAACCTCTACCAAACACTTCTGGGGAACTCCAGAGGTGGCTGGTGCATATTGGCGAACAAGTGCATCCCTTTTGGGCTCTGTCAATCACTTCCTTTGGACACCACTGTGGATTTGTTTAGTCTGCGCATCTGTGAGCTGCCTGGCTCTCTGTGGTAAAGCTAAGGAGACGCTGGCTGTTTTCCTCTGCTAGGTTTAGTTTTTGCTGCTTTTTAGGCAAGCTGACAGACAACACATCTTAAAAGACTTCCCTAAATACCCAGAGTAGCAGCAAAAATACAGAAACAAAACCGGAACTTTAAAAATGAATGAACGAGACGAGCACGAGGCCCTGGGACTTGAGTCTTGGCGCTGCAGCAGCCCTGCTTATGAGAGAGAGAGACAGACAGAGACAGAGACAGAGAGAATGAGAGAGACTTCTTCCAGGAATCAGTTTTCTCCAATGAAGTGTCAGTAGGTGTATGAACCACACTCCAAGGCAGCCTCCATGCCCAGGAGTAGTTGACCGAGAGAAAATGAACTCGGTGTATTGTTTGTGGGCTTTTGGTTTTGTTGCGTGGGTGGGTGTGTGGGAGTTTGTGTGTGTGTGTGTGTGTGTGTGTGTGTGTGTGTGTGTGTGTTACATTTTCTGTTTGCTTATTTTGATTTTTGATAGGTTTGTTTGTTTTTGAGTTTGTAAGCTTCAAGATGATGTAATGATTTCCATCAAAATTCCGAGAAGTTTTGCTTTATCCCTCTTTATCTTAGGGTACCCGTCACACCCTGTTCAAATCGATCCGTTTTCTTCATTTCCCATATTCCACCCCATGTTTTGGGGATGCATGTTACATTTTTTTCTTCTGTAGCAAACAAATGATTAAGTGTTTGTTTTCTCACCAGTTATGAAGTGTAGCTCCTGAAGCATCCCATCAAGCCCAGAGAGACTGTTACACTAGCCACTCAGCAGGCTCGTCTTCCCTTATCCCTAACGTCGTAGATTTACCCCTTTCCAGCATTTCATATGTAACAAAGCTCAAAGAATTTTATGATGGACACTCATACTCACACTCGAGATTCTATCATTAATATTTCACATATATGTATATATATGTAATTAGCCTTCCATTTGTTTGTCCCTCGTTGTATCCACTAACTCATTTTATATTTTGATATATATATATATATATAAAACATATATATGTATGTTATAGATCATTTACCTTTGTTCTAATTTTGAAAAGCGATTCTCATTTATAAGTCAATAACTGTTAATTGTCTACACATACATTTTATTTGCATTATTTATTTATCTGTTTTTTTGCATGTACATCTGGTCATCCATAACGGTCCATTTCACCTCTTCACCATATGAGTGCAGCTTTGGTAATTTTTGCCATGCATTCTCTGTGATGTGCCATCCTATGGAAAAAAAAAAAAGCCCAGGACTCAAACCTGGAGACACACATGTGGATTCTGTTCTGTTGTGATCTTGGACATCTGTCTGCCTTGGTTTTTAGGTCTGTGAATGGATTGCCAAGCTTCAGTCTGTCTTCCCAAGTGTCAGTCTGTCCATCCCAGGAGAGACTGTGAGGATGAGGGAACAATGTAACTCCCTATCTATCGAGAGCCTATAAAAGCAGCCAGTCAGTTTGGAGGCGGCATTGATCAGCACATGCTGATTGTCACGCTTGCCACTGCATGTGGCTCTGGGAGGCTCTGTGACAACTCCATGTAACTTTAGAGTGACAAAAATAGAGGAAGAAATGACCTGATTGGAAGTACAGTGGATAATAGTGGACAAACTTCAAATGGGGGGTGGGTTGGGGACTTCTTGGCTCAAATCATGCCTGAACTTTCTCCTATTATTTTGCCTGCCAACAGATATTACAACCGTCTTACAATATTTACGAACGGATTGACTTGGATCTTTAGACTGCTGGAGAAAAAGGAATTTCTTGAATGACTCTAAATAGGCTTTTATTATTATGATTGAAATCTATATTCTCCATGAAAAACTTGTGCACCATCCAATCAGGTAGGAATGCATGGCACCTATAATGGGTAGGATTTCAATGCCTTAATTCAATTTTTGTTACACAATTTCAAATTTAAAATGGAAGGGACTCCATGTGACAAACCAATTTCTTTGATCTCTGATATGTGGAAACATAAAAGGGTTAAATGCTGAATCATTAATGGCTTTTTAGCTTAATGGGCCTTTCAGTCGATAGGGACTAAAAAGCTGAGCTCATGCAAAATGAACCTATCACTTAATGATAGCTCTCTACGTGGAAGAATTAAGAGACAAAAATTATTCATTTTTTGGAGACATTGTTAAGCAATTTCTGTCTGACTGCAAGGTACAAATGTGTATGGCCATCAGCCAAGTGGATGCTGATCACATTTTAGTTGATTTCAGATGTATTTGATGGGCGATTAGGGTAGAAGAATGTGGGGAAATATTCCTATTCCTAGCGCCTTTCTGCTCTACCTCACCAAAAGCTTATATAAGCATCAGATCACTGCTCTTCAAATGAATACACCACAATGCCTTCTCTTAGGGATGTGAACCATCACCACTGTATGCACTTGGCTGGATCACAGTGATAATGCGGAACTTCCGTTTCCTATGTATCTTTCAAGATGGAGGGGAGCAGGAGCAGGCGTACCCAACTGTGAAGGTGACTCCTATTGTGTAACTGTCTCAGTTTTTATTTGTCTTATTTCCTTAAGTTCTTCACAGAGTTAGAACTCATATTTAGTATCTGCAATAATCTTTCTTTTAAAAATGATTTATTTATGACTCAGAGTGTCTCTGAATTATAGGTATATCCTTAGTCCTTTGGGTTGCTGCAATAAAATATCTAAAATGGACTATTTTCTAGACAAAAGAAATTAATTGTTCACAGTTTTTAAGGCCGAGAAGTTCAAGATCAAAGCACATGCGCGGGCACACCACACACACACACACACACACACACACACACACACACACACACACGAAATTGGCATTGGCTGAGGACTCTATTCCTCATATACAGCGCTTTATTCTTCTGTCCTTATATGGTAGAAGGGATAGGAGAAGATTCTTCAGTTGTTTTGTGTGTGTGTATGATGTATACAGAGGGGCATGCTGGGAGTCCTACTCTATCACTCTCTGTCTGCTCTCTTGAGACATGATCTCTCAGTAAAACTGGACCTAAGCTACTAGCCAGTAAATCCCAGCTATCCTCCTGTCTCTGCCTTCTGTGCAGCCATTCCTAGCTTTGTCTTTTATGTTTGTGCTGGAACAGGTCCCTGAGCTTGTGCAGCAAGGATTCGCTCCCCTCATTGAGCATCTCCCCGGCCACCTTAGTCATCTTTCCTGAACCTTACTTCATCGCTCTCCCATTCAGAATGTTTGACATATGAATCTGGAGAGAAGACATATTCAGAACAGAGAAGGTAGAATTTCAACTGCATGATGATGTTGGATCAGATGACCACAGTAGCACTCAGCAACCAAGCTCTTACATACCACAATAGCTCTTACATTCCTCCAATAGAGCAGGCTGATAGCAATATAAGTCTGCATGTTGGCACAGCACTCCTGGTCATTCCAAACTGTTCATTCACGTCTTCAACTGCTGGAATGCTTTAGTCATAACATTCAATTATCCTTTGTGATACAAATCTCTGCCATGTGCTGCCCTATGAAGAAAAGAACCATGTATCTCAAGAACAACGTTCATTTGTTTGTTTGTTTAAAGGCTTAACCATGTAGCTCAGGCTGGTTTTGAACTCAAAAGGAACCTCCTATCTCAGTCTCCCAAGTCCTAGGATTATAAGTGTGAGCCACTGTACCTGACTCAAACACTGGTTCAGTTTTGCTCTGTTGTGGTCATCGACTTTTCTAAGTTTAACGTTTCCAGCTGTGAAGGGAGGTTCATCTCTCAAAACTGAGAACACATCCTGTGTTCACTGGAGCTGTGTGGTCAGGTCAAAGTGACCAAGCAAAGGAAGAAGCAGAAAGCAATCCCCGTATGTGTCAAAGGAAAGACAGGGAAGAGGTTGGACCAGGAAAGTTGGGATAGAGTTGAAGGTGGGTGCTCTTCTGAGGTACTGTATAACTCCAGTGGGAACCCGAACACCTCCCCTACCCAGTACCCATATCTCGTTGTATTCTCCCCTGTGCTGGGTGAGAAGAGCGCTGTGCAGTTCTGTAACTTGTTATGGTACGTAGAGTAGATAGAATGCTGGGTTTGCAGCTGCGGGGGGGAGGGGGGGGTTGAGGAAAACACATAGATGCTGTCAAAGAAATACTCTGAGTGTGTAAAAAGACGTTATTTGAAAACCCTTGTGTAGTGAGAACCACACAGAAGGTGTGCTCCATCCTAGGGGTTCTAAGCTTGCTGGGGCAACACAGCAGGAGATGGCTTTAAAAAAGTTGTTTTTGAAAATCCTTTTTGTATTCAACAGCGATATAAATTTTGCCCCGTCCTCTGTGGTTGGTACTGTTATAAATACTGGGGAAATAGTGCAGCTGTGTATGGAAGAGATTGTACAAGATGATAGTGCATGCACTCTGCCCGGTTAGAGTTTACATGTTGGAGGATGAGGACAGACAGAGCACAAATACAATAAATGATACATGACATAGCACATCCAATGCTGACATGTGTTATGGAAAAACCCCAAACAAACCACCAAACAGCTGAGCAGGCCTAGGGTAGCCTGGGAAGCTGGAGTGGTGGGGAGCTGTTTGCAAATGTAGACATAGGCAGGCAGGGTAGAGTTCGGAAGGAAGGTGGTATGAGAACAAAAGCTCTCAAGGGTACGAGAGCGCCACAGTGTATCAGGTCGAACCTCCAAGGGTAAGGAACATCCCTGTCCAAGTTCCTGCTGTTCATGTGTGTCTAGTATCTCAGACACAGCAAGCGTCTGGCTAAATGGGTGTGTGCGTGTGTACAAGAAAAGTTCAGCTGTGAGACTACAAGGTGCAAGCAAAAGGTATGTGGCTTTGAGCTAATTAAACTTGGAGAGAAATGGGACCCGTTAGTCACACTCTCATTGTGCCTTTTAATTATACCACTGCCTAGCGTCCAGAGATGGTGATTGTACAGTAAAATTTCTGAAGGGCATCTTGGGAAATTATGCTTCTTTTTAATGCAACACCTGTGATCATTCGGGTCACAATTGGCTCTGTTTATAGTGAAGAGCCTTCCACAGAGAGGCATTTGTTCACGAATAAATGAATGAACCCCAATGAGGTAAGTCCCCCCACTCTAGGAATCCTCAAGCTGTCATGTCTTTATTGTCCTCTACACCCTTTCTCAACGTGGCCTCTCTCTATTCACCCTGTCTGTCATCGCAACTCAATTTTTCTATCTATGTCTTTATGCACGGCCGTCCCTTCTAATTTAAATATTCTCTCTCGACCTCTAGTGGATCCAGTTTCTATCTGTAGTTGAAAGTCCACGGCTGGGCATGATAGTGCATATCTGTACTCTGAGCCCTGGGGAGGACTGAGTCTGAGGCTAGTTGTAAGGAGATTTCTAGGGCATCCTCTGCTACCTAGCTCCTCACAAGCTCTACCTGATGCAGGAAGTCTCCATCAGACCTCTGGCCCTAACTAGTTTTTTTTTTTTTTTTTTGAGCCCCTAAACACCATTCCTGTGTTACTCAACCATTAGTTTAATCTGTTGATCTGGATAACCCCTCGGTGTATTTAAAGTCCTCTGTCTGAACACCTTCTGTATTAGGGGATGGATACCTAAATGATCACCAGCATTTTGGGAGGTACTTGCACCTAATTTTTTGTACAAACTGACTGATAAAAAAGGTTCAGTGACTTGAGTCATTTTAAGCACAGATTTGCACAGAAAGGACCGGGTCCAAGACTTACTTTAGACATGAACACGGTTATTTTTCCTACTCATAGCATTCCTCTTCAGGAACCAATTAATTCACTCTCTTCCAATCAGCCGCTGCCGCGTCTGGGGGAAGTTTGACCCGCGTGAGATGCCATAGCGCCCCTCCCTCCGCCCCTCTGTTCCCGGCCAACATGGCGGCCTCCGAGTCGGTGCCGGCTTCGAGTCCCGGCTCTGCAGACGAGGAGGAGACGATTCTCTACGACCTGCTGGTCAACACCGAGTGGCCACCCGAGACAGAGGTGCAGGTGAGCCGGGCCCTCCCTGGAGGCGGTCGGCGAGGCGCGGGCGCGTGGCGCGGGGAGCCACGTCGCGGTGCCACGCAGGACGGCGGCGCGGGGATGGCAGCCGCGCTGTCGCCTGGCAACGGCGGGGCGCGCGGGGCTGGGGTTTGCTGGGGGGGGGGGGTTGTCTGCGGGGTCAGCCCGGGGTCCGGGGTGGGCTGTCGGTCCTTCCCTCAGGCTGTCGGTCCTCCGGAGCTCGGTGTCACTCTCCTTCCTGAGAGGGAGGGAGTCCTTTCCGGACTTGGCTCTCCTGTGCTCCGTGGCGGGAGAAGTTTCTCAGGACCCTAGACGTCTCGACATCTCAGTAAGAGGCGTGTGTGTGTGTGTGTGTGTGTGTGTGTACACCGGGTCCCATCTCACTAGTG